GATCAGCACCTGTTTGAAGGCATGCAGAAGGGCAACTGAGCGAGCATTGGATCCCGCTACAATGCCCTGTGAATACTGGAGGCCCAGTCGAACAATAGCGGGATGTATCACCGTTGAAGGAATGCTGCAAACAATAAAAACACATTCAACATTTGACTTATATGTTTGAACATGGTGACAGCAAACTGAGATTTTTGGGAGCAAACTGAATAAATCAAGGCAAAAAAAAAAAAAAGCTACCGATGAGCTTACCTGAGCTGTTGTGTTAGCGGGGCTTTGCGGCTGTACTGGTGGAGATGAGAAAACAGGCTGACTTTGTAGCCATAGTCTGAGCGCAGAGGGATCTGAAACCAAGATGCAAAAAAAAATAATAATAATAAATAAAAAAATACACTTACAGAAACTTGGAAAACTAAAGAAGCCAAAAAAACCAAAAATAAAAAAACAATCGGATTTTTCTATTTCCTCTGCAAACATAATTAAAACATGCTAAAGTGATTTTGCAGGAGACTGTTGGTTTATAACCAAAAGTCCTGAGAAGCAAGAAGCTTAGATTGGTAAGCAGCACTGCAAAACAAAAATACTGGAAAAATTTGAATACAGCCACATCCAACACACTAGTTATAACAACAAAAAACAACAAAAAGTTATTAGCAAACATTTTAAAGGGTCTAAACTCGACGGCTTATACCTTTCTAGCTGAATTTTGCCCTGGTGTCTGGAAAACAATGTTTATATCATGACATGCAGTTCTAACTACCAGCGACTCTTTAGATCTACTTTGAAAACAATTGTTAAACAATTAAAGGGTAGATTTGTTATGATATGACAACAAAACTAATACACATACTATTATTGTCTATCACTGATGATGGCATCAAATACAGAGCACCTTGCATCACTGGTCATATAGTTTTTATATATTGCCAGATTACAGCCACATATTTCACTGCATTTAATAGAAATTTTGTGTGACAGACAAAAAGTGGCACATCATTTTTAGATGGAGGGTTTCAAATGTTTTCACAAATGGAAAAAGTTACAGGCAAACATTTATACATTATTTCCCATTACCTTGGTTCCCCTTATTTTCACTGCAATCAATTGTCCTGGAAAGTCTCAATAGACATTTGTTGAATAATATATGATAATATATACATTAATTTGTGGAGGAGAGGACAAATGAGACTTATTGTAGGATGCTAGCTTTGATGGAAAACTAATACCCAATATTGGTCAAAACACACCCGTAGTATTGGGATAACATGGCAAAGCTTCTGTCTTGTTAAGGGGAACCTTTTCATAAAAATAAAAAAAATCAAGCTGACAGGAATATGGATGGGGCTAAAAAAGCACAATCATGAAAGAAGACCCGTCAAGAGCTGCAAAAGACTTTAGGTTAACCCTTCAGCTGGACAATTACACTAAAAATGCCGCAATAGACTGGTTTCAATACGAGCATATTTATGTTTTAAAGTAACTAATTTAAAGCCCCATCTTTAATTTGATAAAAGGCATTGTTGGACTAAAAAATAAAACAAATATGTTGGTGGATGCTTTTCCTTTTTTTTGTAAAATATCTGACAACCATATACAATTTTTCCTCCACTCAATGATGCACCACTTTGCCTAAATCTATCCTAACTTTCAGGAACATGAAATAAAGTTTGTAGCTGTAAGATGGCAAATGAGAACAATGAAAAAAGTATGAATACTTTCACAAGGCACTGCTCCTAACTTGATTGAATTTCTTTAAACAATTTATAACATTGAATCCATCTGACCTGTTGCCTTTCCAACTTCTTTGCCAGTTTCTTTAAAACTTCGGGATTGTCGACTTGAATGTGTTCTGGGAGCCTTTTCACCACTAAAAACAAAGCAAAAAAGTCAGAAATCTATTTTTACTCAACCTAAAAAAATGAGCAAACATGATACTGCCTCAGTTGGACAAATGTTATTTCATCTCAGATCAACTATACAGTTAAACTTCAGGCAAATCGGGTCCCTGCTGTGACAGTTTATTTTTAGTTTGTGGGTATAAACTGTTACCTGGCTGCAGCTCACTCGTGACTCCTTTGGGTTTGCTTGCAGCACCTTGCTGTCCAGGTTCTCCTTTCTTGCCATGTTTACTGGCTCTCTCAGCCTCTTGCCTGGCTCTCCGTTCAGCTTTCAGTTCAGCTTTACTCTTAGCAGGCTTATCTGTGGGGGTGGAAGCTGGGCTGGGAGCATCTGAGGCAGGCACAGAAACTGGAACAGGCACTGAGGAAGGAGCTTGAGAACAGAACAACACATTTAAGGATAAAAGAGTGCTTACAGAGGGCGCTTAAGATTTTAAATATCACAGACAAACATCCCGGAAGTAAGTTTACTTTTCTGAGCTGTGGATTGTGTTGAAGGCTGTGGTGCTGAAGCCGCTGAATTGACAACCTTCTCTTCTGAAGCCTTGTCCTCCTTTTTTTCTTTGTTTTTCTTCTGCTGTTTCTTCTCCTTCCTCAGCCGCTGCTTCTCCTCTTTGGTCAGCTCTTTCCCTTCAATCTGTTTTAACATTTCAGGATATTGTGTCACCACCCCAGCTAACTAACACTAAGCTGTAGCAAGTTTAAAATGACGAAAGTTAACCAACCTTCGCACGTTCGATGCCATCATTCTTGTCATTTCCATCTGCAAAGAACAAAAATCAGAAATAAATAATTAAATTAGCTGTATTAAGATGAATCAGATGGCCCTGATTAATATATATGATGCTGTTAAACACCTTAATTTCCCAACTTTATAGAGTGTTAACATATTTTGCAGTGGAGATTTTCATCCATGATAAAAGCCTTGCATTGTTACCTAAAATTATATATATGAAGTATCAATAACCATTAAAGTATAAGTCTAAAGAAAATGATGCAACACCGTTACAATGTCTAATATTAAACTACACTATCTATGCTAACGTTAGCAATACTTCCATCTGGAAATTATGAGTCCGTTAAAGGAGGAAACTGCGCCTAATTAAATCTAGAAGACTAGCAACATTTTTCTAAAATAACAAAAAGGTTAAACCGAACAAAAACAGCGCAGAAATGATCAAATGAGCAGCTTTTACACATTCCTAAACTCACCTGTCACACGGCTGTCGGCCATCTTTACGATACGCCTTCACTTCTTCTGCTGCGGCAAAAACCGTGTTCGCCCCACAGCGCCCTCTTGTGGAAGCACAGAAGCTTCACTGTAATTTAACAACTTTTTTTTTCTTTCATATTACCATGGTGTGTGCTTTTGCTGTAGTTTTAACACTTGCCAACTACTCATCATTCATCCATGCACTTTATATGTATATTCAGCGTGTGTTTAACAGAAGTTCAGATTTAGAAAGAAAAATAAGCGCAAAGTAAGTGGATTGGAGCATAAAACAGACAATTGGAGCATAAAATAATTTTGACAAGAAGAAAAACAAAAACATTTAAATTAAAAGAATAAACCAAGGAGGAGAACATATAAACAATTAGAATTAATCTGCTATTTACCATTAATGTCACATACTTAAATCCAGCAATCACCTAATATTAAAGCAAAGCTAAGCCAACATTGTAAAAGTTCTTTTTTGAATCTCAAACTTGAGTCTCAAACTCAAATAAAAAAATAAAAAAAACCGAAAGACATTTTTAATCAAATACACTAATGCTGGAAGCGCTTCTTGGTCATTTATGATACCAGCACTAAGGAGGTCCTTGGTGCAATTCTTATTTGGCGATTTTCTTTTTTTTTTTTTTTTCTGTCCATTTGTGAGTTTTCTACAATTTTTTTTCAAATTTTTCAAAAAAATTTTTTTCACTACTCACAGAAAAGACATGTATTTTTGATACATTTGCAGGTTTAATTGCTTAGAGGGGGCTATGTTTGTTTATTTTAATATTTGTTTTTAAAATGTAAAAAATGTTAGTATTTGTTTAAAAAAAAAACCTGTGAGCTGTCCAGTGTGTGAACAATTCCTTCTCCTACTTTGCCATTAAGCCTGGCGATTAATAAACTAACCCATTTGAGCAAAGGCACTGAATAAATTAATAATCCTTTAAAAATATAATAAACAAACATTTAAAAATGTAAGACATTAAACGTCTCCTGTTTCTTTATTTGACAGTTGAAATTGTCTTCAATAAATGTAATCTGGTCCTTGTGTATTTTATCCCATTTTATTCAGTTAAAACCCCTTTTGATACCCATTGAACCAATCGGTGAGAAAAAACTGTCACAAAAAATAAAATATTCTCCATTTGCTCTAAGTATATTAGGATGTCGCATGACCTAACTTTTAGAAATAATTGTTTTAGATTTAAGGTGTGCGCATCATGTCTGAACATACATTAGAAGTGAAATAATATAACTAAATAGATATAAACTGAAGCAGGAATAGAGTTTTGTATTAATTTATGTTTACCCTCATAATTTCAACATTTTTGGACAGTTTCTTTCAACAGAGACCACAATCTTTGATTGGCTTGATTGACAAATTATGAGTTCATTTCACCGGTGCTCTCCAAGGTACTGATTCAAACTTCTTCTATCTTTAGACATTTTATTAAGTAGAATAACTTGTATTTTTTCTTTTATAAGGGCGTTTTCACCATATTAATGTTTTTTTGTATGTACAGAATTAAATAAGACATAGAGAATAATGTAGTGTGAATAGAAGCCATGAGTCTTAGAAGACGATTCTGCTTTTTTATATTGTCAATAGTTAAGTTTGGTTACCTTTAATAGAGATTTTCTACCCTACTTATCTTTATTGCTTTTTCTAAGCTCATGTGATGCCCTGAGTGATGCTTTTGCTCACTGGGAAAATATTCTCTATTAGCACAGCAAAGTTTTCTGTCTGTCTAAAGATCTTTTAACATTTTTGTATTAGTGATGACCAACATGTTTTTTGTCTAAACAGGTAAAACATTTTTGCAGCAGATATCGGATTTGGTTGTGAGGGAATATTTCTATTTTGAAAAGATGTGAATAAAACAAAAAGAAAAAAAAATGTTTATTACATATTGGAAAATGAACAGAGAAAAGAGGATACATTATATACAGCGTTAAATATTCTTTATTGGGTTTTAAACACAGACATCTATACTTAAATTGCCAAAATCAATCTGCAAAAGAAATGCCAACCTTTGAATAACATGTAATCTATGTTCTTCACATTTTCTCAGACTATTACTCCCAGATTAAGCAGAACTGTGTCTCTGATTTCCCGCTGAAAGAATTCACGACGCGGTAGCTGGTTGAAGGGGACCAAACCTCACTGAAACACCTGACTTGGTTCCGTTTGACCAGCCACAGCAAGGCGTGTTGCTTCGGCTGAAGGCAGAGCAAGAGAGAGGCAGAAAGGGGGCCAAAGACACAGAGGGAGGGAAAGAAAGAGGAGAGAGAACAGGAGGTCCTCTTCTGTGCTACCTGATGAAACACAGAGTAAAATAAGATTACTAAAGATTTAAACAAGTTACAGCATGGAGCATCAGTGTGTTACCAAGCAGACAGTTTCTATTTTGAGGTATGGGAACCCTGACAGCTGGTGACATCTCCTTTCCTACCTCCAAACCCAGCCCTGCTGGGGCGAACTTTCAACCTCAGTGACAGCTCCACATCCTTGCCCTCCCTCCCTCCTCCCCTCGTCCTTTTTTAACTTCTGTGGTTGCTATAATGGGTGACAGCTGCGGCCGGTCAATCCTCCTCGACTGTCAGCAGTTGGGGCAGGGCAGGAATTTTTTTTCAAGTTGTGTCCCTGAGACCCTGTTATCAGCGGGCCCGGGGAGTAATGTGAACCATACACGTGTCTGAGCTGAAGGAGAGGGAAGCAGGCCTTTCACCTGTTGCTCTCCCTACATGCACACACACACACTCATGAGCTGGGATGAGAGAAATCCAAGCTGCAAGATATTTAAGAAAGACCTTTAAGGACAAAGAAAATCTGAGATTGCTCCTCTTTCTTGTGCTCTAGTTGCTCAGGCCCGCCTTGAAACCACACACTTCCTTACATTCCATAAGTGATGTATTAATATGGGGATATAAGGAAGCATGTTCTCGCAAGGGGGAAACAACTGGGTCCAACGCTCCTCGGGACACAAAGACACCCTTTCATACCCGCCAGGGAAGAGCAGCAGCAACAACTGTCTATATAATGGTTAACTGTGACAGAGGGAGAGAAATGTTTTAAAAGCAAACATTATGCCTGGAAAAGTACAATTGCGTAAAGAATATAGAACACAACTGATGCAGCAAGAGGCTGCCAAAAGCCAGTATATATATTTTTCTACTGGAAATGGGTTATAGCATTATACTATGTTGAAACGAAAACAATAAATGTAAAAAAAAAGAAAAAAAAAGGAAAACATTTTGTGAAGTTGTTTGTTTAGCCTGAGTTTTCTGGTGACTTCTGTAGATTAACCTGACCTGAGATGGAGGCCTCACCCCAGCTTCCCTTCAGATTAACGCCACTTTGCAGACTTTCTTCTTTTTAGATGGCACAGAGGAAAGGTAGCTTCTCTAAAGTAATTAGAGTTGTCACTCTAATTGACTTTTCTCTTTTCCTGCCTTTTTCCTGTGTCACACCTCAGTGTCCCCCCTAAGCTGTAGGAGGTGTCAAGCTCTGCTGTGGTGTGCTGCTGCCGTAATAAAGCTGAGGAAAAAAAAAAACTACTAACAGCTGGTCTTATTTCTAATTTTTGTCAACTTGAAAAGAAACACTCCCAAAGGGAGTAAAAATGATCATTTTCAGATAATGTCAAAATAGATGAAATTTTTTTTTTATAAAACCGTTTAAAATTTAGACCAACCTTAGTTCATGTCCCTGAAGCTTCCCTTTTCCTCCCATACATTAGTGTCATCTGTTTGCCTCAGCTCTCTTTGCGACCATCCGTTCTCTTCTGTATGTGGCCTCGTGGATTGTGTCCACAGCAGGCCATGCAGACCGGCCTTTTCTATACCCACCAGGAGCGTCCCCCCTCCAGTGCAGCTTCCCACCTGTTGGTGTCCTTTAGGGAGCCCCGGGCCTCTCCTGCATCTCCTGTCCGGCCCAATCAGGACCCTGACAGGGAGGGGAGTCAGTCCTGTGAAGTCACACCTCTCAGCTGTTCACACTGAGCTCAAGACACCCTACACCCCTCTGCCGTTCCTCTGTTCACCCCCCCACCACAATCCGGCTCACACCCCACCTCACCCTGCCTCTATTTTACAGAGGATGTCAATGGCTCCTTTAAAAAAAAAAGGGCGGAGAAACAAGGAGGCAACTGCGAAATGGGCGGGTGTTGGTGAGTTTTTGGGGGACTTTCAGGGGCACAGCTGAAGACAAAATTATAGTTTCATCTTGGCCCCAATAAGGCACAAAAACTGCCATATGTTTAGTTATAAGAGCTACTAAAAAGCCTTTACTCCTTTATGAGGATGCTGCGGTTGTTTTGGGACATGGATACTGAGAGAGAGATGAAAAAGAAAAACATAAAAAGTGTTCTTCACTTAGATCATACACAGGGATATTTCAGAAGCAGGATTTTTTATTGTCTTGTAGTTCTGAAAAAAAAACAACAACTAAAATATAGAACAAAAAATGTTACTTAGGTCTGAAAACAACAACCCTTCCAGTATGAAACCTAGAGGAACTTGGCAACGCGTTTTGAAAACCTAGGGCACTTTTTCATCCCAACACGTTATCTGGATGTTAACGTATTTTGTCTGCTTTGGGGGGATTTTATGATAACACATGACTTCTTTGGATCAAAGGAGAGGTCCTCTGAGCATTAATTAACCATCTTACTGAACCCTGCTTCAGCAAGATTGTTACTGCTTCTCTTGAATTTAGGCATCAATGTTATTTTAAAACATAAATTATGTTCAGATCTAAGTATCACATTATCCCCAAATATTACATCGAGCTTATAACCTCTCAGTCTGACTATGTTCTCCTTAGCTGCAGAATAAAGGGATCCCCCAGCATGATGCTGCCTCCACCTTGCTTCATTGAAAGTTTTGAGTTTTCAGGCGATACGCAAAGTTCGTTTCCCTAAAAAAACTCCAAAACACCACTAAATTTCTGCTGAGATTTTATTTAAACAGAGATTACTGATAAGGGGATTTTTTTTAAATAAGTGTGTAAAAAGTGAAAATATCCCTTTTGTGCATCTGCTCAGAAACATCTGCACGATGATACGATAATAGCCACCATCTAGAGGCAAATGGGCCGAGCACAGGGGTTCATTTTCCTCTGCAGCAAGCATAAGCCACTTCAGCTAAGGTCAAAACCTGTGTTCTAAAATCGGCAGCAGGGTTGTGTGCGACAGGAACCCGGACCTCATTCACAGAAAGCTCGCGCTCAGCGAGGGGGGCTTATATTGAAACCCAACGCTCTTGCTATTTTCAAGGCACTTGCTGTCCGCAAATAGAAGCCTCACCTCATCTTTGTAGCTCCCTGTTATTTTTTTTTTTTTATTTATCCCACAGGATGTTGTCTGATTCTGACAGTTGTTCAATATTTCCATGGCACAGAGTCAGGCAGTATAAACAAATGCAACATTTACACTGATGCCGGTGATGTGCAGAGTCCTTGCCGCCTTTATGATCTGGATAGCCGCCAAAATCAGACGGCTTCTGTTCTTCAGGGGGATTTGTAAAGACACATCACAGTCTTCTTGTCGATATTAATGAGGACAGCTGATCGGTTTTACATGGACTTCACTTTTAAGCATCTGCTTTCTCTGATCATGTTTCATCCTCACCTTTCAATGTTAAACTGTTCTTTTTTTTTATTTATTCTCCCAGATATACAATCTATTTATTCCTCTCAACCAATTAAGCAAAATTGGAACACAGACATCACAATCCTTCATTCTCACTTCAAATTGAGGCAGAGGGGTTATTTTTAAACTGTGTTCACATACCGGGGCCCCCATTTGCTAATCACTTTGTTCCCCTTCTGTCATGCCCGCCTGCCCCTCTGCCAACATCCTATTGCCTCTGGGGAGGTCACAACAAACTTTTCTTGGGATGAGGAAATAATGTCCCTGTGGACGGCAGGTAGGAATGAAACGGATTCGTAATGGAGCGGTTTGTTCATTTACACTGGTATAAATAAACTGGCAGCTGACACCTTGCATACTTGGGATTATCCATGTTTTCTCACAGGAAACTCCACATGCAGGAGAAATTTATCACTTTGAATATTATTATTATTATTAAGTGTGATTTTTACATGCAAAAAATGATGGATCCAACTTGTTGAAGGGAAATCTAAAGTAGAAGTGAGCTGACCAATCCTAATGAAGATAAAACAGCTCTGTGTTGCTGACTCATTATGTGTTCTGCCATTAATGCCACTCTCTTGTCCTTCCCTTGGCGCACCAGTTGCCCGGCTTGAGGTTGACGCAGCTGTCGAAGTCAGCGCAAACCCGCGTGGTAAGGCAAAAAGGTCAAAGGTCAGCAGCATTTATACGGACAGAAAGAACAGGTGACAGAGAGGTAAGGCGAGCCTACGTCATGAGGCTCACATAGGGGAGCACAAAGGAAATTTTTGTTGGGAGATTTAATGTATAAGAGCTCCAGGGACCATGACTGAATGTGGTTCCCAGCTTGGTGGGCAGCAGATAAGAAGCATTAAACCTCTTCTTCTGCAAAGACGGCCAAGAGATGGAGTTGAACAAAAACAAAAAAAAAAGGACCAGGCATCAGACAAAATTAGAAAAACAATAAATGCAATTAAAGACAAAGAATGAAAATAAAATAAAAAACGCCAATACTGTATAAATGTAATGCTTTTTTAATGCAGAATCTGTCAAAAGCTTAGAATAAAACCATGAATACTGCAGCATATTTGATGAGATACAGAAAAAAAGAATGATAATAACTGGAGAAAATGAAATATCCTCATATGGTAAATATTTTACTAAATCAAAAATAATAAAATTTAATCTAATTAATAAAAAACACCATGTGACTGCTCACAGTTTTAATGTGATTTTACAAGAAGGAAATTACTTAAGTGGTTGGTGTTGATAACTTTAGTAACTTTGTAGATATTTCTAATTAATTTTGTATTGAATTGGGTTATCTTTTTCTAATATCAAAGTGCTTTCTGATCTGGAGCATTGAAGTGTGGCAAAAAAAGGAATAAATCTGTGATCTGTAGTTCTTGCTGTAGGCATCGTATGCAATCTCACCTGAGACACATGCATGAGAAATGTTGTTTGGATAGTAGATTTGATCTGGATTAAAAAATAATTAATTTCAAATCACATGAACTGGCTGCACCTTTACGTAGAAATAGTCTGACAAACGTCATATGGTCACTTAGCATAAATCATCTAGATATAAAATGAAATAAACAAACAATATAGTCAACAGGGTGAACATCTTCTTAATGTTTTAATTAAATGTGACAACATGCTGAGTCATGCTTTAAATGAAGTACCCCGACCAAGATTCAGTGTGTAACTAAAACCACTGAAAGTGTTAAAAAAGGAAACACAGTCCTGATTTTTCTCACCAGCTAAACAATTAAAAAGGCTTCAAAGGCCTCTGACTGTCACTCCAGGATCCATTATGAACTTAATGACCTGCTGTAAAGGTCATTGGGTGACAGGTGACCTGCATTGTTGTACAACAGACTTTACAGGTCACACCAAAGCAAAAGTCATCCTCAATGGGTAGAACGAACTCTGCCTGAACTGTAAAAACACATAATATTCAAAAAGTTACCATTTTCTTTGTTTGTTTGATTTACAATTGAGCAAAAAAAGGACTGAGCAATCAAATCTTTAATTTACACATTTGATGATAATTTCAGGATTTCTTAGTGTTGTTGCATACATGTACACTCATTTTCTTCATTATTAGACGCATTTCCTCAACACAAATATCAGATGCAAATACATTCAATGATAACATTTTCTTTAGGATGAACTGGAAGATTGAGGGTTTAAGTGGTTTGAAGAAATACATAAAGAGCAGAAGTTCTGTGGTAATATATTGCCCAGTTGATGCTAAAATCCAAACAAGAATGAAGTAAAATGGTTTGAAGTCATAGAAAGGCAGCAGTGGACGAAGCTTCTTCCTATCACGGTACAAACTGAACTTTGTCTAAACAACATTACCTATACTGTAAGGATTGTTCTAGACTCTGTTAATATTCTTACATCTAAAGTTTATTTGATTTTCCCTTTCAGGAAGTTAATGCACTGTTATTTAAAGCTAAAAGCAACTCAAACCAATTTCTTAAATATTAAAATGAATTTCCTGAACACCAGTAACCGGATCCCACAGTCCCCAGATCCAATTAAAACAGAAAAGCACTGGAATGTGGTGGGGATCTGCATCATGGATATACAGGGGTTGCATGTGCATGTCAATATAGACTGAAAACTCTAAAGAATGTTTCTATTTTAACATTTGCTATAGACAATAAAATGCTGACATTGAAAGGGTTCTTCTTAAAGAATTGTCGTGGTGAATTGTGTTCTCATTTCATATACTTCTTGGGGAAAAAAACGTATCTAGAAATATTGAGCGTTTATTTAAATAATGAGCAGACTTAAGTGTGAAGCACAAAACTGTTAACAAATCTACAGTATATCAATCTGTGTTAAAAAAAATAAGAAGAGTAATAGCAAAGGTTTTATACTGGGTGAAAAATGCATCAGTGACTAATATTAAGCAAACATGGATTTGCTGAAATCTCTTGGTTTGGGGTTCTGGTGAAATTAATGTCATTTTTATGTAGAGGTAGGAAGGTAAAGACAGACAAATTCCAAACTACAAAATTGCTGGACTTGAAATCTAAGGCAGATTTGATCAGTATTGAGTATTGATCCATATCTCATTACTACAAACTTCTATAATTATGTCTTTGAGATTGGATGTTTGCTTTCAGCCTCTCAGGCTCTCACATCATTATATTAGACATTTTTTCTTTGGTCCCTTATTTGCATTGTTTTCACAAGAACTTTTCTGTTGATCCTGGTGAAAGAATGAACAGAGTTTTAACATCCAAGTGCTGGTGGGGGTAGTGAGTCAGGCAGTTGTGCCGACGCCCGTTAAACAGAAAGGACAACTGTAGAAGACAGCAGCAGCAGCAGCAGCAGTGATACAGAGGTAAAACAGAGCTGAGCTGTATTGTGGTCAGAAAGCAGGAGATGAGCTGAATCAGCGGAGGATGTGTGAGGCCCCAGAGCAGCTGGAGTCATCAGTGCTCTCTGTGCTTTTTAGTTGAACTGTCATTCAAAGAAGAACACGGCTTTTCCTGAATTCTCCTTTTTAGTTAAACTCATTATTATTATTTTTGGTAATCAACTAAAGGCACTTAGCCTTTAGTTGATTACCCATCATCATATTAGAGAGGTTTCAATATGGGCTGGAGGCGAAGGCTATGAAAAACATACAGTGATCAGTGATTAAAAAAAAAGTAGACCACCTTATTTCTCTTTAATTGCTTGTTCTAGATGTATATTATTTAAAAAACAATATAAACAACAACAAAAAACGAAAGAAAACAAGGGTGGTTTAATGTTTTTTTCCATGATTGCATCTGGCGCTCTGCCCTTGTGGTCCAAACTGGTGCCACTTATGAATTACAGAAGGTGCCTGAACAAAATTCTGCCAAGGGCTACAAGTGTCATGAAAGTAAATAAATGAATAGATAATATGATATTTTTTATCCATAACCCACTTTACAGAAAGCTCAAAGTGCAGCAGTCATAAAATATATATAAATACACAAGAGAAAAGTAAAACACAATGACATCATACCTCCCCATCTTAAGTAAAAGTACGTACTTCATTGGAGATCTGGCCTCCAATGAAGTAAATACTTTTAGTTAAGATGGGGCAGTATGATTTAGAATGGGAAAAGTGAGCAGGGATAATTTGTAGTTAAACCTGACAGAGACAAGCGGCCAGTGGACAACGCTGGTGATTTGTTTAAGTTTACACACTCTCATCCAGATCCTGGCAGCTGGATCGAGAGAAAACATGACATTCTGTTCTGAACATACTCCAGGGTTTTGTATTGTCCTGTGAGGAATCCTAAAGAGAAGTGCATTAAGTCTGAAAGGGACAATTGCATGAGCAAAGTTACACAATATTTTGGAAAAGGCAGAATGAGATTTTAAAGATGTGCTTCATATGCCTTTCAAAGATTAGCTTTGGATGTTGCTGAATTTGATGTGACTTACCACTTTGATTGATTTTGATTTCTGCTTTTGAGATATGAAGGTGGAGGGCGCTTTGCATCATCCATGCCTCTAGTTCAACCAGACACTCTCTAAGTGCTGAAAGAAAGGGGCACCATAAAGTTAGGGAGGCAGAACATGATGAAGATGGGGCAGGTTGGGTTTCAGACAAATTTCTACCCAACTTGAGGCACAGCAGAGTACCAGCATAGCAAAGAAATGAGACACCATTTAGGCAAATCTTGTGTACAAGTGGTAAAATGTATACATTAAAAATAAGGGGTACCATAATCAATCCTTGAGGAACAATGCAAGAGACAAACAGGGTTATTCATCTGTCATGTCTAATCAGATTTGTCCATTGGGTACCATCAAAGCCATTCCAAGGCAGTGCCAGTGAGCCTAGCAAAGTGTTCTAGGGCATGGAGAAGAATGTGATGATCCAAATGTCAAGGTTTGCAGACCAGTCCAGAAGAATGAAAACTTAAGAGGAGCCATGATCAGCAGTGTTTAATAGGTTACTTGTTATGAGTATCAAACTTGTTTCAAGACTGTGCGTGGTACAGAAGCCGGATTGAAATTTGTCCAGAACTCCGTTGAGTATTAGGTGTTCTTGAATATGCACATATGAATAAATTCTCCAAGGCATTAGGGGAGAATTGAAGTTTGGAAATAGGTCTATAGAGTACCAGGTCTTGGAGGTTCAAGGGTGTGCTTTATTATGGCACATATCAAAGTGGGGGGAATTTTACCAGGTTTAAAGATTGATTAAATATGATGCCAATAAAAATACTGAGGGGATTAATGTTGGTATATCAGGGAATACTGGAAGGTCATGAAGAGCACATATAGAGGATTTCATGCCCTTTTGGTGGCCTCAACTTCCTTCATACACACCACTGGAAGGGAGGAGAAATGGGAAGGCAAGGAAGGCAAGGCAAGGCAAATTTATTTGTATAGCACAATTCAGTACAAAGACAATGCAAAGTGCTTTACATGATTAAAGGAATAGTACACCCAAAACATGATTAGCCTTCATTTTCTACTCACCCCCATGGGAGGCTTCTTGCTGTCTGCTGACATTCAAATAATGGAGGTCTATGGCGCCCGAGACAGAAAGGTCCACAAAAGTCCACAAAAACTTGTCAATATTCCTCCATACTGCTCGTCCAATGTAATCCAAGTGTCCTGAGTGGGTAGCATCCAGAATTTACTCGAAACAAAGTCATTTAGAACGTTTTAGAGCCTAAACAGTAGTGTATAGGATTTCCTAATAGCGCCCCCATGCGCGCTCACGATTCTACGGAAGCCGGCAGACCAAACCAGCGCATTCAGCTCGGCAAAGAACTCATGCTCTTCCTCAACACTGAAGTCCTCAGACATTTTTCTTTCGTTGTTTCTTTCTTTGCACAGGTAAACAGCACATTTCTTCTTCTACGCTTGCATTATCGGCAGACCAGACGCTGAATGCGCACTTTCTTCCGGTTTGGTCTGCCGGCTTCCGTAGAATCGTGAGCGCGCATGGGGGCGCTATTAGGAAATCCTATACACTACTGTTTATGCTCTAAAAACATTCTAAATGACTTCGTTTCGAGTAAATTCTGGATGCTACCCACTCAGGACACTTGGATTACATTGGACGAGCAGTATGGAGGAATATTGACACGTTTTTGTGGACTTTTATGGACCTTTCTGTCTCGGGCGCCATGGACCTCCATTATTTGAATGTCAGCAGACAGCAAGAAGCCTCCCAGATCTCCAGATGCATTTGAGATATCAAAAAAGTACTCCAGAGTGTTGTTCAGCATGGAGGTGAGTAGATAATGAAGGCTAATCATGTTTTGGGTGTACTATTCCTTTAAAATACAGGAAGATAAATAAGATAAAATAAAAAATGCAGACACAAAAAAGAATATTAAAAACAGTTGGACTAAAGAAAATATGTTTTAGTTGAACTGTTTAACTAGAACAGTCGAAGGCAATCCTAAACAAATGTGTTTTTAGTCTTGATTTAAAGGAACTCAGGCTTTCCACACTTTTACAGTTTTCTGGACGTTTGTTCCAGATAAATGGAGCATAGGAACTAAATGCTGCTTCTCCATGTTTAGTTCTGGTTCTATGTATGCAGAGCAGGCTGGAGCCAGAAGACCTGAGTGGTCTGGAGGGTTAATACACTGATAGCAAGTCTGTGACGTATTTAGGTGCTAAGCCATTCAGAGATTTATAGACTAACAGAAGTATTTTATACAGGGAGCCAGTGTAAGGACTTTAGAACTGGGGTGATGTGCTCTACTTTCTGAGTGTTAGTGAGGACACGGGCAGCAGCATTCTGGATCAGCTGCAGCTGTCTGATCCACTTTTTAGGCAGACCTGTGAAAACACCGTTGCAGTAATCAATTCGACTAAAAATAAACGCATGGATTAGTTTTTCCAGATCATGCTGAGACATTAGTCCTTTAATCCTGGAAATGTTCTTCAGGTGACAGAAAGCCGACCTTGTAATTGTCTTTAAATGCTTTTGGAGGTTCAAGTCTGAATCCAGCACTACACCTAGATTTCGGGCCTGATCAGTGGTTACTAGCTGAAGCGACTGAAGCTGTGTGCCTACTTTAGATCTCTCCTCTATTGGTCCAAAGATTATTACTTCAGTTTTGTTTTTATTCAGTTGAAGAAAATTATGGCACATCCAGGCATTGATTTCTTCTAAGCATTTCCTCAGTGCTTGAATTGGTTCATAGTCACCTGGTGACATGGTGATGTAGAGCTGTGTGTCGTCTGCATAGTTATGGTAGCTGATGTTGTTTTTTATTAACTGAGCAAGAGGGAGCATGTAGATATTGAATAGGAGGGGACCCAGGATGGACCCTTGGGGAACCCCACATGTGATTTTTGTCATCTCTGATGTAAAGTTGCCTACTGACACAAAAAAGTCCCTGTCCTTAAAGTATGATTTAAACCAGTTGAGAGCTGTACCAGAGAGGCCGACCCAGTTTTCCAGGCGCACTAACAGGATAGAGTGATCTACAGTATTGAATGCTGTACTGAGGTCCAATAGTACCAGTACTGTGGTTCTTCCGCAGTCTGTATTTATACGGATGTTATTAAACACCTTGATAAGGGCGGTCTCTGTACTGTGGTGAGCACGGAAACCTGACTGGAACACGTCAAAGCGGCGCCGGCTGGTCATATCTAAGAAAGTGTTTAACTGTTGAAACACAGCTTTTTCAATAATCTTACTGATAAAGGGGAGGTTTGATATGGGCCTGTAGTTCTGGAGTAGTAGTTTGTCTAAACTGTTCTTTTTCAGCAGTGGTTTGATATTTGCTGTTTTTAGGGACTGCAGGAAAACACCTGACAGAAGGGACGTGTTTATTATCTGAGTCAAATCAGACGCTATGACAGGCAAAACTTTCTTAAAGAAAGCTGTGGGTAGAACATCAAGGCAGCAGGAGGAGGAACTTAGCTGCTGAATTATTTCCTCTAAGCTTTTATAGTTTATTTGGCTGAATTGAGACATTTGGTCAAGATCAATTCCAGTTGGAGACAACTTTGGTACTGAACTTGATATGGATGTATAAACTGATCCTCTGATCTTTAGGATTTTCTCAGTAAAGAAATTAGCAAATTCATTGCAGGCCCTGGTGGAGTGGAGTTCAGGAGCCACGGACACAGGAGGATTTGTTAGCTTGTCGACTGTGGCAAATAACGCACGAGTATTATTAATGTTCTTGTTAATGATTTCAGAGAAGAAAGATTATCTTGCATTTTTCAGTTGTAAGCTATATCTGTAAAGTCTCTCTTTATAGATGTCATAGTTAACCAGGAGTTTCGTCTTTCTCCACCTGCGTTCAGCTTTTCGACACTCCCTTTTTTCACTTCTAACTGCTGGAGCAATTCTCCAAGGAGATTTTTTCTTTCCGGAAAAGTCTTTCACTTTAATTGGAGCAATGCAGCTAATGATGTCTGAGACTTTAGACTGAAAGTTATCTACTAGCTCATCTACTTAAGGGTTAAAGCAACTAATTGATAGGTATACTGTCATGATCTTGGCGCTGATTTACTTAATTACTTATTGCCTTCACCTGTTACATTCATCAGTCACTCCGCCCGGTTTCTCATTACTGCTCATCTGATCCACCGGCCGCTGCCTCTATTTAAGCTGCCTGCTACCAGTCATTAGGGCAAAATTATTGCTCCAGCCTGTGGTGAGAGTGTTTTAAGCGTACCTTAGTGTTTCTGATGACCTGACCCTGTTCTGCCTCTCTACAATTGAGCTTGCCTGTTTACTGAACTGTTTGCCTGACCTGTCTTTGGACTCCTGCTTTATCCTACTTGTGGACTGTACCTGCATCTGCCTACTGACTTCGTCCTCTGGATTATCCTGTCTTCCTTCGTCTCCATGGATCTGATCTCCTGTCAGTTCTGTAATCTTCAAGGCTTCAGCGTCTGGAACTCTCTACGGGGCAACCGCTGCGTCTTGTCAGTCGACCGAGTCGTATCAACTTTATTTTCTGGGCACTCTAAATCAGGTTAGTGACTCACATGTTCATATCATCCTCCATCAGGTTACCATGGTCACTAACCTGTATTTCCTCTCTCCAGAGTTCCCTGCCTCAGATGCCCTAGTCCGAGGCAGGACTAGGGAGTCCTGCCTCTTTTCAGCTTTTTCAATAATCCGACTGTCTGTCATGCCTTGAATACTGGGTCCTCTGTTCTGAGCCATCACATATACAAAGGTATAAACGTGTCAGTGGGAGTAATGACGGTCAATCCAATTATCTTGATTTTATTGTGGAAGAGTGAGAGAAGTTTATTGTTAAGGTCAGGATGAGTGTGTGATGTTGTTTAGGGCTAAAGGTGATGGGTACTTTTGAGTTGCTAGGGTTATCTGAAGATATAGATGAGTTAAACGGGGAGAATCTTTAAGCAACCTTGCATTTATTTTCCTGCACTCCAGATGAGCTAGCTTGTGGTCTAGATGACCAGAGTCTAAAGAATGCTTCTCTAGCACTTTACCTGCTGCCTTTTTTTTCTTCAGGCCAGGAGTAAACCAGGTGACTGAGCATGAGAAGGAATATTGCTCTTTCTTTAACAAGAGCTAGAGATGCTGGAGCTGGATAGGTTCACTGTATTATTGGATACTAGAAACGTGACAGGAGATCCGCATAAGATCAGATGCTAAAACACAAGGTAAAGATTTGGCTTGATAGAGCTGTCTAGAAAGGACAGCTCCATGGGGGAAATTTGACATGCTGTTCCAAATCCAAATTGCAGCTTGAACAATTGTGGGATTATGATCATCAATTTTGAGCTCTCAAACTATATGTACATTGAGCCTGAAAATATATTTTGCATTGAGCTAGTTTAGCAGACATAAACATGGGCGTGCACCATCTGCATTGTGTATGATAGCTTGCTAATGACATATGAACCAAGAAGTTCTAATAACTTGCAAAGAGAGCAAGTGTGTTAAGTGAAGTATCAGTGTTAGTGTGGTTAGAATACATGATCAATTTGGAATTACTCGGATCTTGAACAATAGTGACCATTGAAAGCACTAAATTCCATATAACCTTTTCTATCAGCGAAACTATGAGCTTAAGAATAACAACACTGCTCTAACTGTAAGGCTGTAAACTCACACATACATCATTTAACAATAAAAGCTGAATGTTTAAGCAGTTTAGTTCCTGTTTCTAAGATCACTATGTTCATACTGTATGTTTTGCCACTACTCATGTCTCATTACTCTTTGAATCAAACCTATTCTGCACTTTTTCAAACTTGATATTGGAGTTTCCCTCTTTCTTTTTGCACCTCTACATGGCACTAGTGACTTGCATCATTGCCTCTCATTTTTACTTTTTTTTTCTTCTTTAGGTGTTCAGGTGGTTAGCAACAAACTTATTGTTTACTAATTTCATGCATAGACAATCTCATACCTCAGGTAACATGGTCTTATGGTAAATATACATGGTACATACTTATTTTTTTTATTCATTTTTTAATAATAAATAGAGCAAAACAAACAACAAAATTAATAGGCCAACTGGGTGAATAGATGAATTGGAAAAGCTTTGTATGAAACAAGAATGTGCTACCTGTGCAAAAATGTGTTTGGGTGTGTGGCGTCACTATGACTCGTTAACACAAAATTGCAAAAACAGAGCAGGCCTAGCTGGGGATTGTTGGTTGAACATTTATTTCAAGAAAGCAAACTATGAAACTGAAAGATTAATAAAAAAAAAAAAAGGTTATAAAGTTTAATAAAAAAATCCTATGTTCAAAATGTAGATGTATATTTTGGTTCAGGTTCAACAGCTGCAGTTACTAACTTTTTCGAGATATGGAATCTTCTGCTTGTAATACAGTTTTAACAGATCTTATGAGTTTTAAGGCTTCCTGTTTTCCATGTGGAAAAATAGAGCTTATTTTACAAACCTAATTTTTCAAATGTGAAAGAGAGAATGTGGCATTCTCCTGTCTTTTCAGTTTCTCAAAGCTGATCTTCAGAATAGGAGAAGTGGAACATGGCCTGGAATTCAGCTAAATGACGACTAAGGCAGAGCTGCATTTAGGGTCACAGAGTCTCCATACTATTACGCAGAATTATAAGGGCATTTAGGAGGCATATAGAGGAAAACAAATTTTCTGGCACATTTCACAGAGCTAAATGTGATTAGTTCACTACATTCTACAGAAACATTAACTGGAACTGTGTGCTCTGGACATATAAGACAAAATTACTTTTTGTTGAGACAAATGCTGTATGTAGGTTTGTGTAAAACAAAAGAGTATACGGAAAAGTACCTCAGGACCACTGTTAGTGATCCTGCAGGTCAGTTTTTCTTCCTCCTTGTTGGAATGTGTGGCATAATAGACCATACCAGTGTTTTAAAGTAAAAATTCTGCTGAACATTTTGAAAAAAAAAAAAAAAAAATTGAATGTTATTGGTTCTTTTAGCATGACTATAATCTAAAACGTTTGTCCAAGTCAACATAGAAATGGATCCCCAGACATAAAATGCAGCTTCCTCTATGGGTATTTATGGAGGGACAGATGCGTTAATGTAGTATATAACCTGGGAGGGCAGCTGATGAAAATAGATTATTGCTGAGGATCCAGAACTATTTATAGCGATTGTTAAATGCCTCTCTGTCTATATGTATTCTATGTTAAAGATAACCGGTAAAATACTGTACTTTGGGGAAAATGGAGTTGTGCATAATATTAAGTGTGAGATGTGCCATAAATGTTTATTTTTTAAAAACAGTACTTTTAATTTGAACAAAGATCCCCAATTTAACATTTGGTTTCCAATTAACAAATTCATATGAAGTGTTTTGTTACATAATGGTTTCTAAATTTTTTAATACATTTGGTGAAATAAGTTTTCTCCAGTTTGAGCCCCACATTAAGCGAGTTAACTACTGTTATAACAGTTTTTAATGGCATTGCAAATAAGTTTATAATTGAGGTATTAGTTAAGCTACTAACAAGAACATTAAGCCTACGTACAAAAAGATGTCCTCTTTAACCCCCACAGCCACCCTCTTCTTTGCCCCTCCATACGCCTCATGGAGGTGACAGCTGTGGATTCACCCCAAAGTCACATGACACATGACACGGGCAGGTGGGAGAAACCTATGCTGGATGCCCCCACCCCCACCTACTGCCAATTTCTCCCCTTTCTAAACACATAAATGCACATGCACTTGACCGGGTGTGGCCATTTTGCATAGCAGGAATGTATTAGTAAGTCCAGCTGCCTGATCTAACAGAAATCTTTCCAGCTCCAGTTCCTGCTTGTTGTTAATGTGTCTGAATGTTTCCCTGGAGACTTTTGGCTGTTCATGAGCTTAAAAGAAAAAATTATTTTTGATGAAACTATTAAGTTAAAGACACAACTTTTTTTTGCCAAAATTATATAACATTTACTTTTGTGGCCACATTCATAATAGATCATAACAAAATAACAACGTCCCAATGAGGATTTGTGAAAATTCATTATCAAGCTGTTCTTTTTTGTTACTCTATTACATGTTTAAGAGATAAAATATGCCATTGACACTTAAATGCAAGTAATTGTTAGGAATCTAGCTAAAAAGGACATCTAAAAAAAAAAAATGATATAAAGTGAACAAGTTGATTGAAAAAGGTGAGGAATCTAAGTTTTGACAAAAAAAGAAAAAAAGAATCCTATACTTTTCTAAGTTTGATTTGCTATTAATAATCAGAGCACATTGAAGGAAAAATTGTTTATACCAACCACTTACTGATTGATTAAGTGTACGTTAGATTTATATTCAGCACAAAAACATCAACATTTACATAGAAATAAAGTTTTGAGAAAAACTGAAACTCAAGAAATTTTCTGGATTTGAGGAAAACTGAGCGACTGCTGGAAATTTTTGTCAATCTTAAAGCCAGCTTGAACTATTAAGGTGAAATTATAATAATCATTGCCTTAAAAAATGTGTGGTTGGTCGATTTAAGAGTATTTTAATTGTTTGCATGTTTAAAGACAGCAGAGCAGATTAACTAGCAGCACAAGCAAGAAGCTCAATGTTTAGAAATTGGGCTGTGATTATAAGTTATTTTGTGTTGAGTTAGGGAAACACTACAATTCTTTTTTTTTTGTATTTAAAAAAAAATCTTCATCATTTTTTATGTTTTTAATGATGTTAAACCATTAACTTCATTTTATTTGATAAAGGCGGAACAATTTTTGCATGGCTTAGTTTCAGGGGATTGCATTTATCAGCGGAACTGACATGAATGGAGATATATGGAAGATATATTTTACTCTGAAATATATCTTAATGTTATTCTATTATTTTGAAGTTAGCTCTGAGTTACATCTTATATTTTTCCGATTATATCGCCAGAACCTGATATATTTTTTTCATACCGGAAATAGTTTTCAATAAAACGGGAACAAGAGCAGCCGTTAAAATCGTTCAAAACGAAACGTTTATAGTGGACATCGGCAAAGGTCGGTATCACCTAAAAATTTAGATGTATTTGCTTTCGAAAAAACATATTTGCTGATTGAAATTTTTCATTCGCCATTTTTTCTAATGATAGACATTAAAGAACTGTAATAGCCCCCCTGTATTTAGGCTGGTGTTACTGATCATTTTCAACAGGTCAAACTGTTTATTTTCAATAATATCTTTCCTGTCTAAAGACTATGTTACAGACTACTGGCCGCCTGTCCAAAGCGCTACAGCTCACCCTGGCGGTCATCAAGCCTGATGCTGTAGCTCATCCTTTAATGTCAGAGGTATTCTGCTTTTATATTTTTTGCTAATTGTACTTTTAGCACTCTTTGTAAATACAGAGCGTTATATTTTATTTACACTTTAAATTTCATCTTAGCCACTGAAAGTTAGAGATGCCAAACTCCCTCTTTACCTTCTTATATAAGCGTACAAACTGTTGTATATATATATATATATATATATATATATATATATATATATATATATATATATATATATATATATATACAGCAAATACACTAACGTATGTAATAAACCCAACAACATAAAAAAAACGTTTTCGCTTTTAAATAAAAAAAATGGTAAACCTTTGCAAGTATTAATTTCAAACAGCAATTTGTAGATGTATAAACAAAAATAAATCTTTTTTTTATCCACTTTTCAGGCTCTTCATCAGACAATTCTGGATAACAGCTTTGCAATCGTCAGATGCAAAGATCTAGTGTGGAGAAAGCAGGATTCAGAGAGGTTTTATGCCGAGCATTCAGGTGTGGAGTGTATTTATTTAAGACTTTATAGTGATGAGTACACTTTTACTCTTTGTTTTTCCATATGATCAAAAATTCGCCACTTTTTCACTTAGTATGTAGGCACAGGTATTTGTATTTACCATGGTTCAAACTGGAGAATTCTACATTTGGGGAATTTAGAATAATTTATTGTTGGGCTTTAAATGTTGAATTTAAAGTGTTTATAAAAACTAAATGCATTAACATTCTCCGTTTAATCCTCAGAGCGATTCTTCTATCAAAGACTTGTGGAATTTATGTCAAGGTGAGTCTAGCCTAATTCCACACAAAGGGATTATCAGAATTTTTTTCATTATTTCTACATGAATAAATACTGATGCATTTAAACTAGTTTGGAAAGCTCTTGAAAATGGCAAACATCCGTGGAAAGTTGGTTCTAAACACCAAAGCTTCTACTAAGTGGAAAATAAGACCCCGGTAATCAAATAAGAATTTATTTTGTTACAAGTGAAAGTGAATCTCCAGAATTTTTTTGTGAACTGGCTTTTAATCCATCTGATACTTCAGCTACATTGGTGAGAATAGATTCCCTGGTGTTAATGAATTTATTTTTTCCTATATAGTAAAAAAAGCTAAAATAAAAAAAATTGTAATTATTCAAATTCACCATCTTATTTATTACAATTAGATATTAATGGTGATGCTGTTTACAATCTGCATGAAGTTTGTAAAAAAATGAAGAATAAGATTGAATCCCCTGTATGCTCAATTCATGAGTGGCATAGAAATGCTCCCAGTATTTCAGCGATTGTCTGAAATCTACCATGTTTAGAAAAGTGCAACACTCAGAGAGCTTGGGATGGGTTTAGAGAGGCATTTTTTAATTTCAGCTTTAAAACAATGCTTTGGCTGCAGTCTTTTTTATTTTTATTTTACTTTAGAATATTTAAAATGTCCCCTTCTAAAAAAAAATCACCGAATGATTTTTTATTTTCTGATATAAATTTTCCTCTAGTGGCCCAATGAGAGCTTACATTTTAGCCCGAGAAGATGCGATACGTCACTGGAGGGACCTGATGGGACCAACCAAAGTCTTCCAAGCCAGATACACATCCCCTACCTCCATCAGGGCTCGCTTCGGCCTCACAGACACCAGGAACACAACTCATGGCTCAGGTCAGTTAGGAATTGTAGAGTTAACATGACTAACAATAGTTTCTTAACATCAAATGTGGGAAAATATTCCTATTATTTCATCAACACTTCTAAGACATTTTGGATAGTCTGCAGGACTTTTTTTTTTTAGATATTAATGAACTGCTTATTAAAAAATAGTTTTAAGTCCAATTGCCATAAAATTAATCCAAATATTTACATATAATTTATAAAAGGACACAAATCCTTTTTTTGTCACAGTTTGAATGAAATCATAATTAACTCTTCCTGTTTATTATTAGTTATGATTACAAAAATAATTAGTATATGCTAAACCCATTACCATGAAGAGTTAAGGAAAGTCAGAGTTGCTTTCAAAGCTTTTGACTAATTTAACTGAGAACATCTGACCTATGTAGAGTCACACTACTGAATGTATTTTAAGACCTTGTAAACACTGCTCCCTGGTGTGACATCATGGATTTTAAATGATATCGGAGAACTGTGGACATCCAGGAGTCTGGTACAGAACGAAAGGAAAAGAGCTTCTAAAGGAGCAGCTGATTTTAATTAATTATTGATTAACAGGCCTTTGCTGAACTGCAATCATCAAAATCATCTGAGCTGAAGCTGAGAAACCTCTAAAACCTGCAAGACAGTGGCCCTTGAGGATCAGCTTTGGGCATGTCTGCCCTGAGCTAACCAATTATTTACTTAGAATGTGTTTTAAGGGCTAGCAAGTCAAATTTTTTGGAGTGTCCTTTACAACACCCCAGATCTCATTCCCTAACAAATCTGTGGTTGCAGCTAAAAAAGTGAGTAAAAGGCAGCCTATAAAGTTAACTGAGTTACACCGGTTCTGTCAGGAGGAATGGTCCAGCAAACTATTGTAAGAAACTGGTAGAAAAATACCCAAAACACTTGAGCCAAGTTGTAATTTAAAACACACTTCTACAAAATATCAAATAAATGGTTCTGAACTTAATAGTTTGAATAAAGTTGGAAGTGAAAATGTCTCTTACTTTTTGACATATACCAAATAAATACCAAATCATTTGGTCATCTTTACTGACCAAAGAGCATTAAGCAAATAATGCTTATCAGTTAATTCAAGTCTGAGTGTGGATGAAAAAGTCTTCAGATCATCCCGATATAATCTTCAGGTGGTAGTTTGAATTTTTTCAAAACTAAAAACATTTAGATTTATTTTAAAATAGTTTTATTTTTTTTATTTTTCCAGACTCTACAGAGTCGGCGCTGAGAGAAATCCATTTCTTCTTCCCAGATTTCAACGTGGAGCAGTGGATAGAGAAGGAAGAACCGTTCTTCAGATCAGGACACATTCGTTATGACAATGAAGATCAGATCCACAAACCTCTGTCACTAAGCTGACCCTAGAGCAGCCCAGCCCCATTCTACAGTATAACTAAAGCTTGACTGGTTTATATTACGGAATGTGTACAGATGCCGCAGATGAGGAGTAAACCGGGTGTTTGAAAGGACTGATTTGTTGTGAGGAAAACAGCCTGCTAGGCTTCTATCACTTGTAATTTTTATCTTAGCCGGGACATTGAGGTGTTAGAAAAATCTAAATCCATTGCTCTTGACTAAAGCTGTGAGATCTATTGTAAAATATTACCTCCCAATGGGTTTTACCTCAGTGGCCGCACTGAGGATTAGAGTTTGACATCAGAGATGTGTAAAAGCCTCTTCTAAAATACTAAACAGCTGGATTTGTAGAGCTCAATAATATAACCACCTACTTATAAATGTATTATTATATTTCTTTGAAGAGGAAAACTCTTCACCTGTAGCTTTCATAAAGAATTCTGCACTAACTCAGACAGTACAGCTGAATCTGATCATTTGGGTTTTTTACAGACACTGCAGGCCCACCACTTCCCTCGGATTTGCCAACTTTAAATACAGCTATTTGCACAGTTATGTATTCAAATCATGCATCTGCATGTCATTCATGGAGTCTACAGTTTTTGTAAATTAGGGAGCACATTCTACATGTTGGTATGGTATTAAAGGCTTGAGGAATTTGTAATGCCGCAAACCAAAGGTTGCTGACAAAGACAAAAAAAAGGATTCAGAGGATTGTAACACATCCTTCTGTGCAAGCGAGCAGATAGCTGTACTTGTTTTATTCTGAGCTGAAAATTAAACCAGATTAAAACCTGAACTGCATCTTTAAATATCTCACCTTTTAATGATCATGAATAGATATTAGTTTGTGTGAATTCTTAACTGTTAGGTACATCCATCAATATGTGGCGAGGGGGAGGCAGGTCCTGCAGGGACACAGATAAGATTGAAGAATGTGCTCTTGTCATGTAAGACTAGAATTGTTTGGTGGAACATAAACACCAAACATCACCCCGGAGCATCATTGCAGAATGCTGTGGGGATTCATTGTGTTTGCAGGGATTAGGAAGCTCAGGGTTAATATGAAGATGAATGATAGATGGGCTGGAGGAAGAAAAGCGTTGGAGGCAGCAGATAACTTGAGACTTAGGCGGGGTTTTGATCTCCTGCATAAGAATATCGCAAAACTGGAGAGACAAAATGTCTCTGCCTTAGATTGGCTCAGTCAAAGTTCATTTCTACAAGAGCTGTACAAAAAATGATCACAACAAACCATAATTAATTGAAACATTTGTAAGAGAAACATATTTCATTTATACTTTATTAAAAAGCAGAAGTCATCAGATAGAAAGAGAACAGTATACAGAGTAGAGCAACACGATGCAGTGATCCACGTCTGTCATTGTTTAAAATTCAGCAACATGAAGTAAAACAAGTCTTACCTATTTTTTTCCCTCAGCATCATCTAAAAAGTGACATTCTTCACTTTCTCTTCTGCAACTCAGTTGAATTTATGTTTAGTAGAAACACTGACATCTCATGATTTGATGGACCAAATGAATACTTTACATGCAGGTCTTTTCAAGATGTCAAATTACAGCAAACACTTAAAACTGTAAACACGATTATCGGCAAAAGTCGGAATCCAGTCTTGTGCTTCCATCAAATTATCTCCCAACGAGGCATGGTTAGCTGATTTATTTCACCTTCGGGCATTTGTCGGACCTCTTGCACTCAGGTGTTTTGTGTGGCCACCTGTTTCAGAGTCTCCACCGGTTTCATTACCTCATAAGTAGTTAGAGATTTCTTAACCTTTCCATTCTTGTCCACCTGGTGGATGCTCTGGGTCACGGTGATGGTCACTTGCTTCGTTGACATTCTGTTATCCTGCCATTTGGTCTGTTAATGCAAAATTTATGAATCGGAATTATTTCTACATAATTGAATAGAACAATTGTTGTATTATGTTTTATACTATAAACAAGCAGGCCTTACAATTTCCTCAGTGTGTAAAACACTTCTGCGCTGCACTGTGGTGCCTGATGAGGGTGGCACCTTGTCCTGCTGCGGAGAGGTCACCACAGACGGTGGGCTGCTGGGTTTCACATCATTCAAACTGGCCTCAGACACGGCTGAGCAAACCTTCAGATAGGCCTGGGCAGGAGGAGGGAGGCCATCTTCAAAGAAATCTGGGACTTTAACAAAGAAGAATCACATGGCTCATTTGTTTCGCATTCATCTTTCAACATGTAAAATATAAATTTCAAGTCATAAAAAATGACTTCTGTAATGCTGTACTTTCCTGAATAATATGACAAAATCTGAAAAACATTCAAGATGAATAAATTCTATTGGAAAGCATGTGCTTCCCATTCTAATATATTTTATTTCATTCCTATAGAAGCATTTTAAATAGACGTCTTTAAATTTGCATAACTTTAGAATTGAGAGTAATGGGCGAAAATTCCTTTGTTTTTATTATTTTTTCAAGTGAACTATGAGGTATGACAACTTAGACTTTGTCATTCTGTACACACATTGTATACAAAAAGAAATTTTGTTCAGTATAGCTCCCAAGACATTTTCATTTTTAAAGTGCAGCAGTGCTAAAATGTAAACAAGCAACATTAATCATTTTAGCTGCTGCAACAATCAATGCCTTTTAAAAGAATGTTACTGTAAAGTTCATAAATCTTAAGGAGCCAAATAATTTGATTACATGATTGCAATCAAACAAAGCAAAACAACTCTAAACTCCCCAAATGAACAATGATATTAAATTTCTTTAGGATGCAACTGAAACATAAGTTTAAGTTCTTTTGTACCATTGTACCTTCTCAACCAGAGCAGCTGCATCAAAACCTGAATCTCCTTAAGGCAAACTGTTTCTAAAACATGCAGCTAAGGTCATTTTCCTCTACCACACTAAGAAATAGATGAACATGTTATTCTTTTTTCACACTGTAAAAACATGGTTTATACAGGAAGGAGGAACTCTAATGCTTTTTAATGCTCTTAGAAATAATTTTAATGCCATCAATAAGAACCCATTACTCTCATATATATATAAACACGGCCAAATCCTGCTTTGCCATCGACAGGCTGCAGCCATGTCCCGAATTTGTCGTTTTCCAGCCAGTTATGTTCAAATTTGCACCCCCCCCCCCCCCCCCCCAATCTCTAGCTTTTTCTGTGCCTCGAGCTTCTGTTGCAAAGATATGGCTTTAGGATCAACCAGGAGCAGTTCCATGCAAACTCGTGGAACCAGTCAAATCTGATATATTTGAAAAAATGTTTGTTTTTTTATAAAGCATTTTAAATGCCATGATAATCACATTTAATGAATTTTAATGCTAATTAAGGCCTTAATTTACAAAATAATAATTTAATGACTTAATGACCCACGAAAACCCTGAAAAAGTATAAAGATTCCAAAAACACTGTGTTAAGCAGCTGATTTGAATAGGACACAGAGCTAATAAAACATGAGGAATCAGTTTAATCAAATATCAGTATCATTCGGCTTAACACATATGACCTCTTCAATTATTTACTTCAATTAATCCTTAGCCTTATTAATAAAGGCCATTCACTTGAACCTGTTTGACTTATATTTAATTCATCTTTAATCATTAGCAATGTTTCGTGTGGGAGGATTAACATGCATATGGGGCTGCCTGCAAAAAAAAATCTTTGTATCTCTCCAGCTCTGTTCACAAAAGACTCAAATAGGTCAGAAAAGTTCCCTTTGAAACAGCTTTGTTAAATTACCTTTGCCTTTTTTCTAAAGAGCGTGTATGTGATCATAGCCGTTTGATTTTTTTAAATTCTTTGCATTTTTTTTTTCATTGTTTTGTATTAAAATCTGGAGCACTGTCTTAACAGATAAATCAAGGCTCCTTCATTCAACACCAGCTGCATCGGTTGCCATGAGAGCAAAGTCCTGTTGGAATATAGTGGCTTTTGATGCAGCCTAATTTCCCTTTTCAGCGATTCGTCTTTGCATGGCTTCAAAGAAAAAAGACTCGCTCTTCAGACCAAAAGACAAGATAACAAATACCAACAACACGAAAACCTTACAGTAATGGATGTTAAAAGCTAACGTGTTGCTGCATCTACCAAATTAATAAGGGATTGACTGTGTCATATTCCAGAATAATGTATTTTGGAAGCTTTTTCCTCTCTGCATTCGGCCTGTCCCCTTACCAGGGCTGATTGTTTTCTCTGACACAAAGCCAGCCTCAGAGTTCTCAGAGGGGATGCTCTGGATGGATGACAGGGGGATATCTGTGTCTGTGCTCGTCAGCCATGTTGACTCCGTCTCTTTGGTCCAGCTTTCCAAGTAGCGAGGCTCTAAAGCATCCGTCCTGCTCCCTCCGCAGCCCATAGTTCACCCTCTGCAGGGGCACCTTCAATTCCCTGCTCAGCTCTTATAAAAATGGGAAAAACAAGCAGATGCTAGAACCTTGTTTAATCATGGGAAATGCTTCTGCAGTTTTATAGCGATGATAATTATACATAAAATGTATTTTATTCCCTTTAATCTGAAGATACTTACAGATCACCACACAGCTGTGGCAGAAGGTAAGAGTCCTCATAGGCTTAGTGTACAGCAATAACTGTTCTTAAAAGAGTTGAGTAGGAGGCAGAGTCCATGTTATGTGGTTTCTCCATGACTGGAGACGGCATCCTCTTTTGAAGAAGCAGGTAAGGGAATCAGCCAATCAATCAATTAGCCATCGTGTTTTTACCTTTGATAAAGAAATGCACAAAGAGACAGTGAAACATGTTTTCTGTTTTATTTGAGTTTTGAAGTTGTTGTTTTTTTTTTTTGCAACAACGCTTCTAGATAATTAAACTCATACTGCTGAAAATCCAGTGTGTTGAAAATCCTTTGTAGAAAAAAAATGAATTTGTTGGTTGAAGAAAGAGTTGTACCAAATGGTATCCTTTCAATGTGAAAGTGGAGAGGATAGAAATTGGTCTCGGCAAGTGGCTGCTCTGGTTCTGCTGGGGGTTTCTTCCTGTTAAAAGCGAGTTTTTCCTCTCCACTGTCGCTACAAGCATGCTTAGTGTGGGATTGCCTTTGAGTCAATGACTATGGAATCAACTGGTTTTCCTTAGATAGAAAACTCTGAATCAATTTGACTGTATGATCTGGTGAACTGTAGAGTGCCTTGAGATGACACGTGTTGGGAATTGGCGCTATATAAATAAACTGAATTGAATTAAAGTTCCTGCCTGTGGTCTTGACCCCAGCCCCTCTGATTACTTGAATATCAGCTGGAGACTGACCAATGTCATCCAGCAGCACTGTTTGACCACGCTGGCGACCATCCCACTCAGCTCTGCTGCTTAACACACAAATGTATTTCCATTCAAGTATGGCAAAATTTGAAGTAAAAAAAGCCCTCAAACATCATTTTGTCTACCTCATAACCATTGTGATAACCTATAAATAATCCACCAATTGTACCAATCAATTGTTCTTGTTTAATTCTAGTTAACAGCAGTTTTAATTAATCTATTTATTCAAGCCCCCCCCAGAGTTTGATAAATATTAAAAAAATTTTTAAAGATGCAATGAGACATCAACAAAAATAGTTAAATGCAGCAGAGCCAGGCGTCCCTTAAATAATAAGAAAATAGGTAGGTTGTTTACAGGCAGGCCTTTGGTGGATCATATGGCTAAATGACTAAGAGAGTCATATCTATAACGAACACGCACGTGAACGCGCACGCGCAACTACCATCCCCAAAGGCCACGAGGAAACGCACCATTATAACGATCACCAGCAAAAAATGGATAAGAATCAACAAGGCTTGTAACAGAAACACAAACGATGTTAATGAGAAGAGAGGCTTACAGATGGCGGAGGCTCCGTGTTTTTTACTCTCCTCTTCTCATCACCGCATCTGCCGCAAGAGCTCCAGCGTCAGCGAGTCGTCTCCCACTCTGGACTCCAGCAGGCTCCCAATCCAGACACACCCCCTGATACTAAACAAAGCCTTTTCCTCCATCTTTCTGAATGCCAGGGATCTAAGAACAGCGAATGAGCGATAAATCATCCATCCAATGTTGTGGAGATGAGAGCATCTGTTGGATTTGAAATTTAAGTAAATAGAAATTGCATCAGCAGTTGCTAGGTAAACTTGAAAATATAATTTTTTATTTAATAGTGACGCAGTTCGTTTTGGAGCGACAAAAATGTAATGACAGTCAGTTACATAATTATTACTGTAAAACTTTAAATTCTTACTGTTAAAAATCAGTCAGCAATTCAATTCAACTTAACTTGCTTTATTTATATATTGCCAATTGAAAACATATGTCATCTCATTGCAGTTTACAGAGACAAGTCAATCAGATGCTAGTACCCCTACTATCCCCCCCACTATAATTCAATTCAGTTTATTTTTATAATGCTAATTCACAACACATGTAATCTCA